GTAAAAATTTTGCGTTTTAAGAGGATGTTTAATTACTGAAGATGGCCAGATTGTGGCCGAAACGTTTAATCGCTTATTTTTTGATATGGGTATTGATAAACGCTTAAATAATTCATTATTGAATAAAGTTTTAATCTTCACAACCGACAACCTGTGCTGTGGTTTTTTATGTTCTTCGTTTTTTTAATTTTTAAAATTATAACCACTTTTATTTAAGACATTTAAAGAATATACTTATACAATTATGCTTTATGACAATAATAATAAGATAAACAATAATTTTGATCAGATTTTTGACTCAGCGCGTCGTAACGAGAGCAAAAGAACTTCACCATCAATCTTTTATTACGTTCTTATCTTATCGCAGTTATAGGCGTTCGTATAATACAATGAAATTCTCAAATCACAGCATAGCGCGAAGATGTTATATCGTGTGGAATTTGCAACAAAATATTTTTTCTTCGATGAGTAATTATGTCATTCTTTCAATTAAGAACATCATTAAAGCTGGTCATGAAGGTAAAAATTGCGTGGACAACAAAAGTTTCGAATAAAAGTGATAAAAAGTAATTTTGGGACAGTTTATTGCTATGCGAATATTAAAAATTAGGTACATAAAGCTTAAGACTATTTTCGTGAACACATAAATATTGCTAATTTTATACGGAAAAGAAAGGTTTTGTTGAAAAAATTAGAATAAATGTAAATTGAAAAATCTGGAAAAAATGGAATATTAAAATAATATAGGTGAAAGAAGGGCAAAGAGCCAGTATAAGGTAGCAAAGAACTTTAATTTAAATTATGAAAATAATATAATTATGAAAATAATAATTACAAAGAATAAAATCGACTTCGATCGAGTTATTCTCAATGTTATAAACATATAAATAAACATATTCATCTTTACTCAACACATCTTTATAAACCAATAACCTATATAATATTACAAAACTCATTATAAGTCTATAAAATATTTTTGCATATTCTTCATTTTGTGTAGTGCTGCGAGTTTGAATTAAATCAAAGTAGTAATAAAGTAATACTCTAAAAAAGTGACCGTGAACAAAAGAAAATTAATATTTAATACATACAAATTAATAATATATATAATATAATGATGTACCTTATCAATTATATCAGTAAATGTGTTGAAAGTCCATTAATAAAAAACCTGAAAAAAAATGCAGGAAAATAGAAATCCAAATCGTGAATCGTAGAATACATTGGTTCCTTAATTAAAATTGAAGCAAATTTGCAAGAATAATGAACATCTGACTTCAATGATGTTGGATAACACAATAGGAATATTAAAAGTTAACACAATAGGAATATTAAAAGTTAACTATTTAAATAATTGGATCGTTAACAAAATTACATAGGATGATTTAGCATTATGCTAATGATGCAAAAAGTGACTCACAACCAAATTGAGCATCAAATAGTTTAAATAATTGAACATAATTATTTATAGATCTCTCTTTCAGATCTGCATTTACAATGAAAAATGTTTTTATAATAAGTCTAATAGATTCAACCAATATATTTAAGAATAAAAAAATTAAAGAATAAAAGAATTAAAATTCTACAATTTATCCGGATAACATGTCTGTTATATGAGATATCTAAAACTTTTAACATATTTAAAAATCCAAATATTTTATGTAACATGAATGTTATCTGAATATCAGATAGACATAATTGATTTTTTCCTATTAAGTATCAAAATTTTTTGATAATAATATTGAATTTGTTTAATTAAGTTAGCAATTTCTTAATGAAAAGAAATGTTTAGTAAATGTAACTAAAAGTTTTATAGATACAATCGAAAATATTAATCAAAAATATTAACCAAAACCTTTTGTAATTATGTCGCTTAAACATTTCTATAAAATATCGAGTCTAATTATAATAAACAGAAATTTTATTTAATCTTAAAATAAAATAAAATAAAATGCGTTCTATCACATATCTTATTGATATAAATAAAACATTTTTTTCAGTGTAGCTAAATTTTTAGACATTTTAACAAAACCATTCTATCCGTGTAAATCGCTACTGCTCTGATAGTAAAAGCATATAAAACCAGTAGGTATATATTAGAGCGAGATGCGTCTTTTTCTCGGCGCGTGGCTGTCATAATAAAAAAATCATTCATAAAACTGAATTTTACGAGCAAGTTTTGATTCATTGTGCGTCATCATTGTTGCGTTCATTGACGATTCCTGATGGATCAGTCCACTCGACACCTTTACTTAAGAAAAAACGTAATAATATCAATTATAGCAAGTTTTATATGTGGAATTAATGTACACACACACATAATTGAATAAATTAATTTAATTGAATAAATTATTTTATAGGTATAATAATTGTAAAATAATTTAATAATTAATTCAACTATGTATAGTAATTCTACATATGGAATTTCCCAAAACTGTGGAAATCTCATAATAATATTTATAAAAATAAAGATATACATATATATGTATTCCGATATTTCGAAAAAGCTACTTTTTGGCATGCATTCAAAATGCAACAATTTTAAGTCGTTACAAACGACTCCATTAATTTAAAACGATGGTGGTCGTACAAAAGTGAAAATTTCATGCACTAGGAGACTCTTTCCGCCTTTGTGTACTTGGGGATAGTGATTGATCAGTATCCATGACAGAGTAGCTTTTTTGAAATATTGGACATTTCATCGTTTTCTTATATCTTTAATTTTACAAAAATTATTACAAGGTTTCTGTACATTTGGGCAACCTGCATAAAACTTGTACAGTTATCACCTTTATAATTGCTATTACTAAGTATGTCTTTTCCTTGAGTGTGATTTCTGACATTATTCCTGTCTCTCTCCTTCTGTCTCTCTAGCTTCGTCGGGGTGTTTTTTATTTCTCGTACTTTCAGAAGCGAGCGAGTGTGTTTTTGCATTTTTGCAGTTCAATTTTTGATGCCAGTAATGTAGGCGATATTGAAACTTTCCTTTTATTTTCCTTCATAACAATGAGTAAACTGCTGGAGATAAAGAGAGATCGCGTGCGGTCCCGGATGTTCGCCATGAGAATCGTACACTATCATTGAAGGGTTTGACTCACCGGGTGACCAAAGAAGGAGGATTCGACTTCGCCGAATCACACGGTTCACCACGTCGTGGTGGTGCCGTGGTCGCGCCGCACTGGGTCACACCACGCCACGTTGGGCCTTGATCAACCACCTCACCTCCCTTGCTAGAGCGAACCGTCCTGGCAAAAGAGGCGAGACGCACTGGCTTGGATCTTTGTCGACACTATAATAACGACCGTGTCATATCATGTCGCGGCACTGCGCTGCGCGACTACTGCGCGTTGTGCTACCACCGCACGTTGGCTGTCGCGGAACGGCCGGAAATCACGTGCGTGGGGGAATAAACTCATAGCACACATGCGTAGAGGTTGTGCGCGCAAGGGTTGAGAGGGTGAGATTCGGTGGGGCCGATCGAGGCCGAAAAATTGATCGACACGCGTTACGAGTTGTTTCGCCCTCGTTCGCATAGATTACGTTGCTCGCGGCGAATCCGTCAGCGAGCGATTCATAGGGTTGAACTGATTCATACAGGGCTGCGTTTAGAAATTATGCCTAAATAAATCTAGGATGCATTTTTGTTGTAATGTACCATGTAACGTAACCTGTAGCTCAGAGTTATCTGGCCGTAATTTCTGAACGCACTCCAGTTATCCATGTTTGTTGCAGATACTTATGTATATTTTTACATCATATAATACCATATGTTTATTGGTATGATGTTTATACGTTTTTGTAATTAATAATTTTGGAAATAGCGAAAAAGCAAGATATATAATCTAAATCTAAGAGGATTATACTTAGAGAACAGATATAGTGGTAACAACTATAAGATGGCAATTGAATAGTTTTATATATATAATTAATGTACATATAAATAATCTATATAGTTGAATGAACTATTACAGTTATTGCAATATAGTTTATAAAATAGTTTATTCAATTATATGTACACATTAATGCTGCATGGAAAACTTGTATACTTGTCATATTTATAATTGCTATTTATATTTTTAAATATATGAAGAATAAGAAAAATAAGAAGAAAAAAAGCAGAAAAAACTGTTATCTTCTTATTTATATCTTAAAAATAGTAAATGTTCGTTGCGAAATAAATTTGTTAAACGATACGTTAATTTATCACGTAAATTGCACGTATTGCAGGAAGGACATCGCTCAGACCACTCATTGTATAATGTTTATCGCTGAAGCAGACGATAAAATTTTTAAAAACGAGATACTAGGGATGTTATTAAAATAATAACACTAACGTATATTGATAATGATGGAGGAGATTATCAATAAATAGAAAAAGCAGTCGGCGTGCACGTTCGAGTTAAAAAATACGAGTCGGACAAAATGCGTGTGTCGAAGTTGCTTCGAAGAAATTCCGGGCGCAATTCGCTTAACACTTTAGATACGCCGTCGGCGTATTTAATGGAAGCTGTAATTGAATCTGTTGAAAACAGCTGTTGCCGTAAACTCGATTTGTAATTCGAGTCTTCGCTTGTGTTACGCGCGCGGAGTTATTTTCCGACAACATCCGCTCGCACCTCGCTTCCGTCATGAGAAAACGATTTTATCCGTCCTCGACACCGTGTTTATAATCTACATTTGCGCGACGATCCGGCATCGACAAACCGAATTGAAAATAGGATTCGACGATCTCTCCGAGATCGTTCGAGTACCCCAACTGTTGTACGCACAGCAACGAGAAAATATCTGTCAGGCGCGACTGCATTCTCTCGATTGCAATGTAGAAGAGGAGGGAGAACGAAAGGGAGAAAAGGTGAGAGTAGGATGGAGAGCGAAAGGTACACTTTCCTTCATCTCTCTGTAACGAAAGTTTTATGCAACATGCACCGCGCCGGGCAAACACGGAAGAACTTTCTTCGGTTACATTTACGCAATACGCAGTGCACTTCCATTCTCCTTACCTGCACCAGGTTTCCCGCGTATGAACATAAATCGCTGGTAAATCGTGCGTCGCCACCACTGTAACTTCCGTAACTGAGACATGAACCTCAAAGTGCCTATCTTATAATATTCTTTTGCTTCGTTGAGAGACCGTCCCTACTACCACGGTATTAATCAAGGTTGGGTAATGCTAAAAAGATAAAAATTAATAGTTATGGATATTCATAAAAAAATGTCCTGAGAATATTTAATTGTTATAATAATTACACATGTAAAAAAAATGCAAGAGATCGATTTTAAAGATTCTCAGTAACTCATCCATAGAACAATTTAAAATCTTTATAAAAACAATCTCTTGCATTTTTATACGACTATAATGATTCGACGATATAATAATTGAATATGAGCGATTTTTATGAATTTCTGCAACTTACGTAAACAACTCACAAAAAAAAAATCTCAAATTTCTTTTGTGAAGTTAAAAAAATAAAAAGTTAATTAATTTTAACTTAACTTAGTTACATTTTAGATTTTTAACGTTTTAACTTTATATTTTAGTTACATTTTATCCGTAACTATTAATTTTTTATTTTATTTTAACTTAAGTCTCAGACATAATACGCGGTAATAGCGATAGCTTAAAATGAAATAAAAATTGCAAAAGAGAGAAATTTATTAGATGTTGACCATTGAAATTATAAATATTCTAATGAATTTGCTCACTTTTGTGATTTTCACTCATTTCAAATTACACAATCAAGCTTCAGATTTCAATCTGTCAGAAACCGTGCATTTCGATGTATCTAGTTTCTGATAGTTTGAAATCTATTATATTATTCTTTATTATTAAAATATAACACATATATCATCTTCGGCTCACGTTGAACGGCTGTTCAATGCAGGAGGACTCATTTTATATTCCTCGATAACTTGCGAGGAAAGATGTTCGACAAAAATTTCGAAATGGCTTTATTACTTAAATTTAATAAATATATGTGAACAAAATAGTCAATCAGTATATATAACAGCCTATGTAAACAATAATATATATAAACAAAACATGTAAATAAAATATGAAGTATTTTCTAATTCAAATCTATATTTGTCATTTCCGTTATTTGTAAGACCGTTATTTAAAAATGGAATCTTGAAATAAAAAAATAAAAAAAAGCAAATTTAACTTTTAACTTTTCAATTACTTTTTTTATTAACTTAATTTTTAATTCAATTAATTTCATTATAAATTAACTTGTAGCTACTAAATTAAATTTTTAAGGTTGTTAACTTTAATTTAACTTAAGTTAAAAAAAAAGTTGACTTATCTAATGATATTAATTCTTGAATTTGTTAGCGCAAAACAACCTTCAAAACATCTTTTTTTTTTAATTGCTAATATTTCTAGATAAAAAGATGAGATACGTGTTTCGCGAAAAAAACTTGTAACGTTGCAGAAATTCATAAAAAAATGTCGTAAACAAATTCAATTATTCAATATTCAATATTCAATAACAATGTTCAATTCTTATATAATTATATATATAATGAAAAAAATGCAAGCATCAATTTTAAAGACATTTTCAGTAACTCATCCATAGAACAATTGAAAATCTTTATAAAAACGATCTTTTGCATATTTTATACGACGATATAAAAAGTAAACAACTTCACAAAAAAAATCTCAAATGTTTTTTGCGTAACATATAGCTCATGTTTTTATCTGTAATAATGTTAGCAATTTAAAAAAAAAGTGATGTTTTGTCCGGTTTGACGTGGAATGCCTCACAGATTGCAACTATATATAATAAAGTCATTTTAAAGAGAAACCGTGTAAAGTATTAACTTATTTTCAATAGTACAAATTAGTACAAATTCAGTTGTATTAGTTGCCCTTGTGTTGTTTTTATAGTCCTGCCAACTTAAATATTAAATATTAAATTAGCAGCGCTAATGTTTTCTTGGAAATAATACATAATATAAAATTGTTTTTGTGGTAGTACAAAATAGTACAAATCCGATTAATTTCTAACATTATTTTTCTTTTATTTTGAATTGATTCTATTAGCTTAATATTAAGTTAGCACCGCCACGATTTTTTTCGAAATGGCACATGGTACAAAATTACCATTAATGGTACAATTTAGTATAAAATGAGTATTAAAAATTCCGATAAGTTCGATTTGATTCTGCTGATTTGGTCCTACTAGCTTTATAAAGCTTTAATAAAACAAATATATGTTTTATTCTAATAAAATATTATTTATTTTATTAATATTATTATTGGAAATTAATAAGAGATTATTTTTAACTGTTATCAGAAGACACGATAGTGTTTTGGTGCTAAGTCAAACGCAATCTAATATAATATCGATCTTTTATTGTTTTACTGTACGATATGAAACAATTGTACTTACAGTTGGTATGAATTGTTTATAACTTATAATACAATATTTAATTTAAAGTTATAACATTTTATTTATATAAAATAGTATTTATTTATTTATTTTATAATGAAGTCGAGAAGGCAAAAGAAAGTAGTGTATTACGATTAATTCCTGGGATAAAACTTGTCGAAGCGTCAAAGAAATATGAACGAAGAGTTTTAACGCTTCTTAAACATTTTATTGACTTTCCATTGACTTTTTGGGATTTTGAATATTCACACGCTCCCCGAATCCTCCCTAAACGTTCCGTAAAGTGAAATACATCTGTTACATTTGCTGCACTTTTTAAATATTTTTTTTTCATATGATCTACAACGCTCTATAAAGAGTGTATGGAGCGTTTTTTTTATCGATACACTTCTTAAACACTTCATTCAATGAAACTTTATCTATGCTTCTTAAACACTCCACAAAGAGTGTATTCATTTGTTATGGGACAATACCCTTATACGTTTCGTACACTTCTAGAATATAGGACTAAAAAAAATTTTTTTAATAGAACTTAAAGTAATAATTAATAAAGTAGCAATTAAACAAAAAAAAAAGAAAAACATTAATAGAAGCGTTTGGCAAGCGTGAACAGAATGTTAGTCTCATTAAGTTGTAAACGGAACTTCGTTGAATAGTACGCGGCACCGCCACCAGAAGGACGCAGCAAATTAAATTTCTCGAATTTAAAAAACTATAGAATAAGATAAAAAAGACACTATTGAAAGATTTTTCAATAGTGTTCTAATAAAATAATTTTTTTAAAGTGAATTTCAAGAAAAAAGCTCCAAGAAAAAAGCATAATATTTTTTTTGAGATGTTTACCGAGTAAATAAAATATATTTTAATATCATCATATACTTATTGAGAATCTAGACCATATTTCATTTTTTCGTTCGTCAAAAAATTCGATGATGCTTCGTTTAAGGTAACTCCGGTAAATACGCCGCGCTGGGATTTACGTCGCAAGTCAGAAAAAATAGGAGTAGGGTAATTTTCCCGCAACTAATCTGTTACATGCCTTTATGTTATATCAGTTATTGTGTTATGATTTCAGCTTTTTATTGTTAATATTAATGAAATTATTGTGAGTTCAATCGATTTGTCACTGTAGTAAGTAATGCCATCATAATCTGCATAAAATGATTACTGTAGGGCGTGTAAAAGACTTAGTGATTATTTCGTGATAAATACTCGTAGTGGAATAATAAAGTATGTTGTGTAGCAAAATACAAGTGCTTTGCTTTTCGTATTCTTTGTTTAATTTGTTGTCTTGTATATTCCACCTGTTTGGGATATATACGGCATTTTTAGCAAGCGGGATTTATCTCCAAAGCATACAAAGTGCGCAGATTGAATTCAGTGCATTAAATGCAATAAACACATTATATGAAATATGTACTTCATATCATAACATTTGTAATACACACATAGGAAGATTGTAATTATTAAATTATAAAAAACACCCTAACAATCTAAACAGGGATAATGGCTATAACATAAGTAAGATATGGAAGACCATCCTCCCGACTAGCAAAGACCGACCAAGATTCCACTATCTGTCTCCCCCATCACTCTAACCCCCCCCCCCCCCCCCACACTCTCCCCCCCCC